CTTTTTTCTTTTTGCTTATGTGGTGCTGAGGAATCGAACCCAGGCCCTCATGCATGCAAGGCAAGCGCTCTACCACTGAGCCACCTTCCTAGCCCCACCTTTTTTTTTTTTAACAATTGGTTATCAGGGTGATAAGGTAATACAAGGAAGTTAGAAATCAGTTTGTCAGTGAAAGTCCCTCCTGAGGGTGGGTGTACTCTTGGAGGCAAAGGTACACATTCTTCTCATCATGAGTGGCTGGGAATAGTTACATTGGAGGAGACTGGTAAAGTCAGTGGAAAGTTCCCACTCAAGGAGGGAGGGGTGAGGTTGCTGTTCTTTATTCCATTGACAAAGATTTATACACCAGACATGACTGGCTGGTCACAAATAACACAGAGGATAGGTACAATTGAAGCCAAGAAGCACGTAATTCCAGGAAATATCAATATATAATAGTGACTGGTTACAAGATGGAGACATTTTAGTTTGACAGAAAAGATGGTGTCTTCTCACAGGGCTTGAACTCAGGGTTTCACACTTGATGGAGTGGTGCTCTACTGCTTTGAGCTTTTGTTAATTTTGAGGTAGGATCTTGAACGTTTGCCTAGCTGGCCTGGGTTCCCTCACTTACACTTCCTGTGTAGCTGAGAGGACAAAGATATGCCACCATAGGCAAGCTGGGTTTGTGTTGTTTTTGTTGAGATGAGGGTGTTCTTTTTCTCCTGGTTGGCCTCTTACTTCTGCCCTCCTAATCTCTGACCCTGAGTTGCTGGGATTATAAGGAGCCACTGTCCTCAGTCACCTTGTTTCTTTTTTTTTTTTTAATGGAAGCTTCATTATACAGGCATGATTGACTAACTTATGGGCCACTAGTAATCGCCTTAATCTTCAGCCCCTCTCCCTATTCCAGAAGTTGGAGTTGGACTGAAATTCACAAGCCTCTAATCCTATCTTTAATCGAACCACCCCCATCCAGAAGCTACCTAGAGGTCACCAACCACCAATCAATTTATGACCATACAAAAAAAGACAACTGTCATTTTCAAGATTCCTGGTATTTGGGAAGTTGTATGCCAGGGAGTAGGAACAAGATCAAATGTATATTTCACAGTTTCACAGAGGGCTAGAAAATCAGGACCTAAGCCCTGAGCCCCAAAGTTCTGGTATAGGAGAGTGAGGTGAGGGAAGAGGACTGCTTTTTGTGGAGAAAGGAGCCTGGGGAAAGAAGTAGCAAAATGGTAATTTTCTTCCACAATCAGTGCATTTGTGTCATTTGTGTGGGTGGGTGGAACTAGGTTCTTGGGACAGGTGTGAATCATACTACAGGTTGTGTGTGTGTGTGCGTGTGTGTGTGGTATGTGTGCACATATGTGCATGTACTTGAACTCAGGGCCTGAGTGCTATTCCTTAGCTTTCTGCTCAAGGCTGCCTCTCTATTACTTGACCCACAGCTCCACCTCCAGCTTTTTGGTGGTTTGTTCCAGCTAAGAATCACAACCTTTCCTGCCACAGCTGGCTGCTGAAACCATCAAGAGGTGTTTTAGATCCTTTTCTCTTACCTTTTAATAAAAAGGTTAAAAAAGTGTCAAGGGTAAACAATATGTTTATTTGAAGGTAAATAGTGGGATGGGACCTCCCTGTTACCCTATGAGGGAAACTGAGGCTTCTTTGTTCCCACTAGGAATTTGGTCCTTAGTCCTCTCCCTCTTGGGGAATATATCCTTGGTTTGATTTGTTCAACAGTGGGTCACTCACTGTCAAAGTTCTTTCCTATTGGATGAAAGTTTTTGTCTGATTGGGCCCCTCCCACTGGGCAAAAATGGGAGGGATCTGAACTTGCTGTTCCAGGGGCAGGAACAAGAAAAGATGATTTATGTCCTCTATTTGTATACTCCCAGGTGAACCTTTGTCTCAGTCACCTTCTATCTCCAAATGCCTTGCTGAGGGCAAATGCTGTACCTCACTTTCAAACCATAATCCTCAGATCTCAGCCTAGTGAGCAGCTAGGATTACAGGCGTGAAGCACGGATGCCCAGCACCTACTCCAGTTCTTAAATAAAAATTACAGGACAGCGTTGTTGCCACAGTTTTGGACTAGGTTTCTATAGGAAAGTCTACTGCACCAGGCTAAAGATCAAAATGGTATGCCTAAAGATGAGTGTATGTTCTGAAATCCTAGCATGTGGGAGGAAGAGGAGGCAGGAGAATCTCCTGTTCTAGTCCAACCTGAGTTCAATAACAAGACCTTTTTCCAAGAAACAGACAAAACAAAACAAAAAATCAAAAACTCATGCTAGAGTCCACTCACCAAGCTTGAATTAACATTTATCTGATCTGAGAAGCCAGGACTTTTTTTTACAACTGGTTATCAGGGTGATGAGGAAATATAAGGAAGTTAGAAAACACTCTGTCAGTGAAAGGTCTCTACTGAGGGGTTGGGCTTGCCAAATTTCCCACTGTAGTTTCACTTGACACAATAATGAGGTTCCCCCTGCCCCAATTCTCACACAGAAAAGGCGATCTGATGTTAACCAATCGGTTATTTCTCAATTGTTCCCTCCTTGCCTTACAAAGAAAATAAGTTGAAGAAGGCCAATCCACTTCCTGGTTTCGTTTGTTTCTATTTTTCTGCCCTTTTCTTCCTGTAAAAACAACCTCTTTTACCTGACTCATCAGAAGATTTATTATCCTATTTGATGGAATGAAATGTTGCTGAATCTATCATGAAGAATACAGCCAATTAAGATCGTTAAACTGAGCAGTGGTTAACACCTTTAATTTTAGCTACACAGGAGCCAAAAATGTGAGGATCAAGGTTCAAAGCCACACCATACAGGAAAGTCCATAAGACTGTAATCTCCAGTTAACCAACAAAAAAAGCCAACAGTGGAGCTGTTGCTCAAGTGGTAGAGTGCTAGCCTTGAGCAAAGAAAGCTAAGGGACATTGCCTAGGCCCTAAATTCAAGCCCTAGTACTGGTACTACTACAACAACAGCAGCAAAAAAAGATTGTTAAACTGAAC